ACCCGGAACCGCTCCCTGCGCCGCCGGTTGCCCGGGGGATGAGCTCGGAGAAGGGGAATGTGTCGCGCACGCGGCCCCAGCGCTACCAGAACGCGCGCGCTTTCAGGAACGACAAGTACGACACCAGCGCTCAGCGCAAGGTAAGCAGTGGGGCCGCCCCCGGGGGCGGACGGGGAGATGCGGCGGCAGAGACGATCCCTCTGAGGCGGCGGGGCTGCGGAAAGGGTAAATAGGGCCTGTGCGGCCTGCTGGGTGCACGGATGGCGCTGGAGCGATGGCCTGTCTCTTTCGGCCGAAAGGTCCTGAAGGGCTTCGGGATCGTAAACGAAGCCAGACAGTAGGAGAAGCCGAGAAACCTTTTCATTTTAGCGGCGGAGAAACTTTTGGCCCAGGTTAATCCAAAAAGTTCACTGCGGCATTACATGCGTAATCTGTAATAAGCCGTCTCAGTCAGCTGTCACCTGACCCCGTGTCTTAAGCTCTTGTGTAAGCAAATACGTTGTGTGATCCTTGGATCATATGTATAACGTGAAAGGCCCTCCTTAAGCCAAAGAATTGTTAAAAGGAAAACTGAAATAAAGCATTTACCTTTGTACAGTGTGAGTGCAGTAAGTAAACGTTCCCTGTGGTGTTATCCGTGTGACTTCTTCTAAGGTGTATGGCCTTAAAGTTTGTGACCGTGAGGTTTTACTTCAGACTTCTGAACATTTTGAGAATTTATTTTGAAAACTTCCCCCATCATCCATATAAATAACAAGTTTCACTTTGCATATGTTTGAGACAACTTAAAAATTATTCGTGTTTGCTTTAAGTCTTTAAAAAAATCTTAAGGGGCTTTTCTGAGTAGTTACATAGAATGGTGTTTCCGTGGTTTGATATTCTGACACTATCGTTACTGTAAAACGTTTTGACTTACAGTGTTACAAAAGGTTGTTGTTGTCCTTTTTGCTGTTGTTGTTTCTAAGCAAGGAAAAAGCAATAGTTTACCATATATACTTGGAACATACTCTGTGTTTGTAGTTGTGATAACATAATAGCAGTGCGTGAGAAGACCAAGCAGTGTGCTTGAGCACTAACAAAACTGAAGTGGGATGTTCTGTTTTACAGGCTAAAGCGAAAGTGATGAATAAAGCAAAACACACGATGAGCATTCTAGAAGAGGCTTATTTGGTGCTATTGCTGTCATTTCAATATCTCTTTTAACTGAACCTGACTGGGTTGTCAAAAAGTACTGAGAGGAAGGGAACAAAACAGTAAGTTAAAGCAGTGGCACCAAAGAGGGAGGTTTGGTGGTGGGGCTTGATTTTTTTTTTTTTTTTTTTTTTTTTTTTTTTTTTCAGATGTTGTAGGACTGGTTCTGCAAGTTGAACAGGCTGCTTTCCTGGGGCTCCAAGCAGCACCAATGTTATTTATTGTGTGAGTCATTGCATGGTCCCTGATAGGTGCATCTTTTCCTGTCTGGCCTCCACACACCTGCATACACAAAAATATACTAGAGATCTATCGGGAAAGTCTTCAAAGAGAAACTGAATTCTGACATCAGTTTTGTAACTGAAGCAATCACTTTAATATCCACATCGCTGGCTTTCTTCCCTTTTATAAAATATTTTGTATCATATAGAACTGGCTACACAAACACGCACTCAAACAATTTTATTTTTTGTTAAAAGCTTTTGAATGTAATCAAGATTCATTGCGGGCATTAACTGTGATATGGGACTGTGTCTTTTTTGTTTCTGTGTCAAGTGAGTGATTTCTTTTCTCTGTGTGCATGTCAGTTCATGGAGATGGCTGAACACAAGAAAGAAGCTTCTTGAAGAAGGTGTATCTTATTATGGAATTAGATAGTGTGTGGTAAAAGAAAAGTATGCATTTTTCTTTTGACATAGTATCATGTACAAATTCTAGTGCAAGAGGATACATGAAGGTCATTATTGTAATAAGTAGGCCTGATTCTGCTATTTGAGAAATTTGAAAAGAACTTAAACTAACAAAGAGTAAGTGGTGATTAATGTTTAGATACAAGCTAAACTGAATAATTACAGTTTTACATCTTGGTCTTCTGTAGTCCTCAGTGATCAGATGCACCACAGACGTTCAAAGTGTGAAGAGGGACAGGAAGAAATAGTAGCAATTTGATCACAGGGACTGATATAGGAGTGGGGCATTCTTCCTTTCTACCTCTCACTAGTTCAGAAGATCAGAGGACTGCTCAGAGCTGCTGAAAGAGGGTGGATCTCCTGTAAATCACTGCTAATATTTGGGGGGTTTTAGTTATTTTCCCCGTCTTTGACCACTGTTATACACTGTCCAATGCAATACATCATGAAAGGCTGCAGAATGCTTTTTAGCTTAAAATTTTTATTCTCCTACATTTGTGCACTGTGAAGTATTAACTACAGTAGCTTTAGGTTGTACTGTGGGTGAAGTTGTAGTTACTTGCAGTGTTATTGCTGTTTCTCTTAGTAAAGTAATATCTGCAGAGGAAATTGATCTAATAGACTTTTGACTTTTCCTTGCTGGCAGTCATTATCTGGTTGTTTTGTGGTTTTTTGAAAGGTTTTGTGTTCTTTATCTGACACTGAGCTTGTCATCCATTTTCTAATTTTAAAGACCATAGATCTGATTACTTGCAGAACATGCTGAAAGATCCATCTGTCTTTCCTCTAATGATCAGTCTAGGCTATTTGAGTTAAAACACTCTTGCAGCAAAGTACACTGCCTCTCTACTGTATTTGTGTAACTGCCTACAACACTGCTGGGGAAGCTTGCATCCTAGGATGGGCTGAAGAAGGATAAGCCAGGATAGGGTAAGACACACTGTGTTGTTAGTTTTTGAATCTTGGAGTTTGTTTATGGGTGCTTGCTTTACATAATATATTCCAGAACAGTTGTTTGTGGCACTGAGCTGAGGAATATACATTGTTATATGAATATATATTTTATGTAAAGTATATTACATAAGTCAACATGGAAGCTGGAGTAGTTCTAGAGATGAAAGCAAATAGCATTCAATGAGAACACTTAGAACTCCATTGCAATAAGATGGTAAACCACAAAGTGATTTATATTTACACCCAAATGACGAGTTTGTTTCTTTCCTCTCATTAAGTAGGCCCCAGATGATAATCCACATTTCCCTAAATTTCAGAGGATATTACCTCTGAACCTCAGCTTTACCATAGTGTTGATGTCAGCTACTTCTTCAGCTGTCTGTATGGATAGATAACTTGTTTCAGTGGAGACACTGGTCAAGACTGTGGGAAAGCAGTGGCAACAAAACAAGTGAATATAGAGCATAAGAGCTGAGTGACGTGAAGCTCAGATGGGAGATACAGATAAACATGTAGCCAACTGGAATTGGCCAATAACAGCATTGGAGTTTGGTTATTTTCTTTCTCTGTGCAATGTACAGTAGCTTGGTAGACTAACATCTACTCTCTAGCCACCCCTGTTATTCTGGGTTCAGAAGTGCATTCAGGCTTGGGTTGTACTCTTTCATTTAAGGAGAGGAGGAGCCAGTGTGTTCTGGACTCTAACCTAACTCAGGGGAGGCATGGAGAGAGAGCAGGCATGTGGGTGTTCAGTTCTATGTGGGGAAAAGGATGAGAGTTGACTTGGTCTTTCCAAGTGCGTATATTCTCTTGCTGGTTACTTGCATGTTTTCACATCCATGGTCACTGATCTGAAAAAAGCTAAACATGTTGATCTCCAAATGGCTGTTTGGAATTGGGCATAGAGAAAGCTTTTAATTTCATGTGTTTTAAAGTCTGTAGCAATAAGATGAAAGGGCCTTAAATGCTAGCTATATAGCCATCCATATGTAACCAGTATAACTGTAGGGAGGCCTAAGGCTTTGGTTAAAAAGCTAAATATACTTCTCTTCAGACAGAGACGAGAAAATAACCATGTAGAAAATGGATTTTAAAGTAATACTCATAAAATACGTGACGAAGTGAATCCGGGGGACTTGATTTCAACCTGGGAAATGTGTATTAGAACCCTGAAAAGCTGATGCCTCATATCACAGTTTCAGGTTTGTTAGTCTGCACTGATCTGCTCTAACTGCTTTGCAGTCATGTGCTGGAGATCCTGTGGATTTTTTTGTTTTTCTGAGATGTGTAGTTATTCAGAACTGCTGCATTCAGCGTTGTTGATTGAAGCAATATCACCTGTGGAAGGAAGTTTATGGATGACATTGCATTTTTTTTACAGCAGAATAGACTGCTGATATGTGCTCAGTGGTAGGAGTCTGCTTTCAGTAGAATAAATTGAAATACCCATAGGTTCACACATAATTAGAAACTTCCAAACAGACAATGAGGCTTCTTTGAAACCCATCATTGCATCTTGCTTGTGAGTGCTTTAATGCTATCTTAAGCTAGGGATTATTTTATATGCCAAGTTAGTAGGTGTAGGTGCATGTGTTTACTTCAATACATTCTGAATTGCTTTTGGTGGGTTGTTAAATGATTTGGTGTTGGGTTATGTGAACATATAAGGATGCTGTTTTGTTAATGCAGTTGACCTGACAGTGTGTTATAATATGCACATGGAGTATTTTGTGACTGTGTACTTTAAGACTCTACATGTATGGCTGTACTGCATAACTGTAATTTCTTTGGGGAATATATAAATTATAAGCACTGAATGAGTTGCACTTGTGCTTGGAGGGCAGTATGACAAAAGAGAAGAGGAAAGAACTATTGTCTAGAACAGGGAAATAAGCGTTTAAAAAAATAGAGAAACTACTGTGACAGAAACAGAATCTAACCTGTCAGAGTAGTTCTCACAACAGGAAATCCATTTCAGACCATAAGCACTACCACCTCTTTGTATATGAGAGCTAACTGCCTGAATAAAAGCTGGGTAGAAAAGTTGGGAGAGAATAACGAAGTTGACAAGCCTTGTTCAGGTATTTGTGTGGTTTGCTGGGTTTTTCTACCTTTAAAGGAAAGCAAGCTATTAAATGGATGAAAGGAAGCAAATAAAAAGATATGAAAGTTTAAACCATGTACAAAATATATTTAAAAGTGAATATTAATAGAAAAAGTAAGCATCAGAGGAATTTCTTTAACTATTACTTCCCCATTCTGACTGGGAACTGAGAGACGTGGAAAGTTTCCCTTCCGTTTTGTTAGGACAACTTACTCTCACGTGTTCTCTGGTGATTTCAAAATTCTGAAAATAACGGTTTATCCAAATCTTTAATTAGGGACAGCTTTCTTTGCTTCTTTAAGTCTGCATTACTTTTGAAAATGATATAGTACTTCTTTAAGGAAGTGTTGAATTTAGTGTAGAAAACCACAATGATCAACTTGTTATAGTAATAGTAACATTTAAATGTCATGCATTTCTCCTGAGGAGAATAAACTTAGAAGGCAAACACAAGTTAAGGTTAAACTCTGTAAATCTCCCTGCTTGCTTGCTTGTTTAACATCAGGCCATCATTCTCTATTGACTTTCTAAATCACAGCCTGGTAGAAGGATTGTAGAGTCGTAGTCACTGTCATGTTCAGATATGCCGAGGCAATGATTAACTACACCACTCCATACTTAAAGTACCAACATTGAGTAGAAAAAAGAGGAAGTTGCTGGAGGGGAGGAAGAGACTGTGCTCTATGTGTGCCTGTTAGAAGGAAGAAATTAGAACTGAAAAGTTGTCATCTTTCTTCCAATTACCAGTTACCTTCTGAGTAGATACCATGTTATTTCTCTGAGTTGCTTCGTAAGATTTGTGGTGCTACAGATGACTAGGTTGAAAAGCCCAGGCATCTTTACGCCTGGATCAGGATCTAAAGTGACACATAATTGTGATCTTCATAGCTATAATCTAATTTGGTGTCAGAAGACTCTTAGGCAGCATTTTGGTCGATGTTCTTAGTTTTTACCTTTGCACTGGATATCTGAAGTGTTGCTGATCATACCAAGAAGACAGAACAGTTCAAATGAGAATGTGTAGAAGTAGTGGAAATACACTGACCGGCTCCAATAGATTCATTGCCTTTATGTGGCTGTGATTGTTTCTGTGCAATTGAATTACATTAACTTTAGAGCTTCTTGTGTGTTGCTTGTCTTCTAAAGAACTTTTTCTGTGGTGAAACAATGTATTATAATATAGAGGAAGGCCTAATCTTTGGGATGAGGGCATCAGATAAGATGCAGGGCTTTGTTATTTGAAGCAAAGGTGAAGAAGTCCCAATAATAAAGTATGCCACATGACTAGTCACTTGGCCTTGCTATGAGGTGGTATTTTCATGCAAAGGTGTACAATGAGTAACATGAAAAAGCATCTTTGGAATTTGGGATGGCCTGTATTTTAGTTTGCCTGATAAAAAATAAATTCATCACTGTATGATTGTGTATTCGGGAGCCAGATGATGTGTATTGGGAGGAGGAAGAGCTTTATAAAGCACTATTAATAATAATTCTGCATATTTCCTTGTTCCATAGCGAATGTTTAGCAGAATTTGTAATAGGCTGCCTGTTTGACAAACTTAGGATTTCCTGTAGATGAGAGGTGAAAGTAGTTCCTATTTTGTTCTTCTGAACCGTTTATGCCACACGCAGTCCTGAGCGTGGCCTCTTGCATTCCAAGTGCGTTACGCGTGGCTGAGCCTGTCCCTGCATCGCTTAGTAACAGGGCTCCCATCCCCAGCTGTGATGTCAGGATGTATTATTGGAAACGGGGTCGTTTTCAGCAAGGAAGCTGACTCCCTTTGGAAAGACAATCAGCTTAAACTATTGCCATCTTTTGATGTTTATTGGGTTCTGCCTTAGCAGTACTAAAAATAGTTGATCACAATAAAGAACATCTAGGAATACAAATTTTAGTGTTTCTGTCTTTCTCTCCTGATTTGCATTAATTAGTAAGTTCAGGCAAATTTGAAGGTTATCAGAAGCTTATTCAAGCTATGCTATTTGGAGCCTTACTTTGTGCTAGTCAAGTACTGAAAAGGCTTATCTTCAAATTTCATTAATTTTGAAAGAATGAAGAGTCAGTGCTGACAGCAGTTTGAATTGTCAGTCCTTTATCAGATACCAGCATTTACTGAGAATTGTCTCAGAGAGTTTCCACATTAGCCAAATGTTTGTGTTTCTTGGAAAATCTAATTTATGATGTATGGTTGATATCAAAACCACAGCTCTCTGTATCCAGTATTCAAGCATTCTGCAAAACTTTGTTTGTTTCTGTCTGCCTGTCTTTCTTTTTTTAACATGCCAAATCTGTATTTGATCATTTGGAAAAAAAGTTTACTGTCTTTAAACTGAACCAGCCGCACACCACACCTTCAGTTAACTACACACTATGCAAAAACTTACGCTGATTGGTTGAAATTTAGTGAAAAGGGGAACAATGGAAAACAAGTCCTGTAGTATAATGTTAGTCATAAGTTGCATTTCCTTTGCCGCATACATTTTTCAGAATAGAGTAAGAAACTGTTTTTTTTAAAACTGGGCTTGTTCTTTTGTCTAGTGTATTGAAGTAGAACTTTGTGGAGTAGTAAGAACCTCTTGTGGGTCATAAAACCAGGAAATTACTTCATAAGTTACTGTAAGCACAGAATAAGTTATCAGTTTGTAAAATAATAACATAAACTGTAATTTCAATTAATGCAGAATCTGTTTCAATGAACTTTTGGGTATTCTAAAAAATAGATGTGTTTTAAATCATCTTAATAATGTCATTTTGGTATGGTAGCCATTTTTAAGCTGTTTTAAAGCACAATAGAATTTTTTGACTATATGCTTTTTTTAAATTATGAAATTGCGGTTTTTAAAGTTCTGAATTAGTACACATAACTGTATGATAGATAAAGTTACTGCTGTCATTTTTAGATAAGAAGTAAAAGTAGATTCAATGTACAAGTATATGTTGCTTGTTATTTAAGGTAACTGTGGTTTGGCACTACTTCTATCTCAGATTAACTTCCCTTGTGCAAATAGTACTGGCCAGTTAACATTTTGTATTCCTGAGCAAACTAAATGCAGAATGTTGTAGAAGATCTTCAGGTAAACTTTGCATTGTCTTGAAAATATATCATAGTTCAAATGACTATTTTAGGATTTTATCTTAGTTACTTGAGAGCAAAAGTGTATTACTTTTTCATAAAGGAAGTTTGTGATGAAAGAGATATTGAATGATTTGACGGCAAATGTGTGGATTCTACTGCACTGAGATCTGAGAAAAAGTCCTGATAATACTTACTTAAACTATGTAGTATATAGCTTGAGCAATAATAAGTTAAAAGTTAAGTCTTGCAAGTTGTCTTTGCATAAAACTCGTGTTATTTCAGGGCTCATTTATACTTAAATCTGTATTGTAAAATATGTAGAGATGAAACAATAGATTATTATTCATATTTTATTATTATCAACAGTATAATAACATAAATAGGTACTACTATTAAAAATATTAAAATTATGATGTTAATAATAATGAAGACTCCTTCAAGGTAAAAGACTACCTCAGCACTCTTTCCACTGAAGAAAATTACTAACAGTAAATGTATGTAAAATGTTTATGTTAATATCAAACAAACATCTTTCTAAATACTGTATTAATTGCATGATGGGTTGAATGACCAAGATTATACTCATAAAAATAGGAAATTTTCAATGTATTATTAATTTAATTTTTATTTATTTATTCAGAAAATAAACGCTAAGCTTCATGATGGAGTCTGTCAGCATTGCAAAGGAGTCTTGGAGTGGCGGGTAAAATTCAACAAGTACAAACTACTCTCAAAACCTAAAAAATGGTGAGTTAAGATACTTTGTATTAATCGCGTAGTGTGTGAACTTTTTGGAAAAAAATATAGTTTTGGAAACTCACAGGTAGTAGCTGCTGCTATAGGACATTCTTCAAATTTGGAGTCTGCAATGGCAGTATATAACCAGTGTTAATTTTCTAAATTTAGTAGTCTTTTATCTTAAACTCTTAAAAAGAAAACATAGTGAAAAACCAACTGCTTCCCTGTTAGCTGCTAAAATGCTTGAACCGTGGAGCTGTAAGTTTTCAAAACTGTTAGTGTGTACTCCTGAACAAAAAGTCAAACCTGACCCAGTCATAACATGATTTTCTGAGGCCTCATTGCAAGTCAATACTTGAGGAATCTGCACATCTCTTAACTTTTGTAGTTCATAAAGACTATCTAATAGAGAAATGAGGAGAGGAAGGTGTTATTTCTGTGTCATATCAAATCTCCTTACCAACACTGTTCTCAGCATTACTGAAACCTCAGTTTCTACAAAATATTTGCAATGCATGCCATTTCATTATCTCTTGGTACGTTCTCTCTTTTTGTATGTGAAACTATAATCCCAAATATTAAATGTTCAGCATTGTTTGCATACAATTCTGTATTAGGTATATTTGGATAAGTACATAACAAGGATTATAAATATCTTAAAATAATTTATAGGTTTGTGACAGGTTAATTTTCTGAAGTGGATACTCTCTGCTTCCTTCTTACTTGCTCAGCTGCAGAGGTCCTTAGCTATGGGGCTGCAGACACAGCCGGTGTTTCAACAATGAAACGTTGAACTCAAAGAAACTGCAGCTGGGCTGAGGTGTATGATACAGGCAGCTTTGTCACAGTAGTTCACTCTGTGTTTGTGTGTTGTTCTCTGTTAAATAGTTCTGAAATACTTACGGACTGCTTGATGAGATTCTGTAAATGTATGTGTGCAGTTCCCTTTATGACAGTGTATTTTATTTTGAATTTCAGTAGGTTAAAAGGGAAAGAAGGTTAGTTCATACTATATCTCCCATTTGTGAGAAGTTTTACTTTTTAATATGAAACCACATGCAATAAATATTTTGGTTTTAGTAAATGATTTCACCTTGTTAAAAAAAAAAGATTAGGTAGAAGTCTCACTGATTCTCAAAGTGAACATTCTGTGTACTATTCACTGCAGATAAAGTTGGGATTTGTCTTTTTTTAACTCATTCTGAAATAATTAAAATGTGCATCTTGTTTAAAAGCAATGAGCAAATCATGTGGTGGTGAATCTGGGTTTTTTGTCTCTTCTCTGCCTACCCCCGAAAGGAAAATAAAATAGGCAAGAAAAGCATGTAAATTGGTGAAGCTTTGGAAATAGAAAAAGTGGCAATGTGGGACAGCTGCTTATGACAGGATATGTAGTGTTTTCCATCATATTTTTAAACAAGTAAACTGGGCTGCAGACCATTCTAGCTCTACAGGTGGTGGTTTCTAGCCCAGCCTACAGCAGTACAAAGGCTGAGCGGGCTACTGTTCTGAAAGGGCAAGACTGTGAAGATTTTCAATGGGTGAAGCTTCTAGGTGAAGTAGACACATTACAGACATTAAAAACGTGACTATATGGAAAAAAAATAAAATCTTTATTTCATAGGCGATGGAAATGGAGGACTTCTCTGTACCTCAACTTATTTTTAGTTCTTTAACATCTTCAAAATTATGATTGTTAGTGCAGCCACAAGTTATCCTACTTTATTTTTATTTCTAGTATTTATTTGTTACAAATAATACTATTTTTTTAAAAAAGTCTATTCATCCTGCATTGATAGTACCCCTATTGGTGTGACGTGGCTTGGAAGATTTGTAGACATTTTTTTTAATACTGAAGTGACTGAACACAGAAGAAAGGGGAGGGAAAAAAACCCAACTGCAGTAGGTATTTCCAATGGCATCTAACTGTAGGTTTTTCCTGGAGGAGTGGAAGACCAAAAGACTAGGCAGTTCAGACTTTGCTTTTGTCAAATGTGTCCTACAGCAATTCTTGTGATTTTACAGCTTTTTTTTTAGGTGTGTGTATCTTAATAATAAAACAGCAACAGAGCCTAGATGAAGATAGTAGGAAGAAGGCAATAGTGCTTAAGAACGAGATTTGAGAAAGCAAGTAAAAATTCTGTTTCATTAGATGCTAATTAGTGCATCTCTCCTTAGATGGTATGCAAAAACTTGATATTTTCCTTCAGCCTGTTTCAGCCAAATCTGCAAATCGCTTCTTCAGAACTGTACGCTAAATCTTTCCTGACACTTTTGAGTGCCTGAGAAACCAAGAAAGAGTGACTTTTAGGATAGCTGCATTACATAGGATATATAGTTCTGGGTTCTGTTCTCCAAAAATACAAGGCTTTAGAGATGTTAGCTGTATGTTAACCTATAGCATTTTAGAAATGACTTAATTTACAGAGTTTTATCATATCTTGAAAAAGAATAGCCAAAAACCTCTATATAATTAGATTGGGTTTAGAATACAGTTCGATGCAGGCTTGTGTTCATGGAAAGTGAAGTCTAGCACTGGCTTTGTTTATACTCTGAGAAAATCAAGAGGAAGACATTGTAAAATTGAAAGCTTTTTATTTGTAAAATGCATGCATCTTTTTGTACTATATTCTTACTTAAGAATTACTGTTAAACCAGAAGATGAGTTTATGTAGCTTTTAAAGCTTTTTTAAAGCTTTTAAAACTACTTACTGAAGCAAATGGAAAGGTTTCTTTTGTCACTTTAAATATAAAAATTCTTGGGTTTATGTTTCTTCTTCAGTTCTTGTTTTAATAATTCTTCCTGAAAAAGTTAAAGGAGGGGGGAGACAGTCAATGATTTTGATAGTGCTGCTTGTTAAATCACCAGTTGTTTATAACATGTTGTTTCTCTTTTGAAGAGTATGTATTGCCTTTGAACGTGGAATATTTAATAAGTATCCACAAATATTTTTTCTAATCATGTTTTCTTTCTCTTCACAGTGTGAAGTGCCTCCAGAAGACTGTAAAAGATCCTTACCATATTATTTGTCGACCATGTGCTGGTAAACTAGAAATTTGTGCTAAATGTGGAAAAGAAGAAGAAATTGTAATTCCGTAAGTAGCTCATAGGTGACATAGTTTCAGTACTACACTGTTTCTTCCCCTTTTTATAAAGCTTGTTTGGGAACTGCCAAGAAGCTTTACTTTATGCCATATTCTGAGTAATCCTGACAGGAATCAAGTAGAGTCATTATCCTCACTTTCTTCTACTGAACCTAGGGGTGAAAGGGCTATTGCTGTTAGTGGGGCCGAGCCAAAAAAAGTATTACTTGAATAAGACATTTTAATACCAAAGGGTAAATTGCTTATCTTCCTTAGGAACAAAGCACTTCAAAATGGATTTCGGTATAGAGCACCATAAAAATATGCATAAGATAATTTACTGTTTGCATTTTGTCTGTCATTTGATGATTCAGTTACTAGTGAACAGAAACACTAAACAAGGCTGATACTGAGCACAGTTACAATAATATATTTATCAAGCTTTCGTTTTATTTATTCTTTTACTAGAGTTCTCTCCTGAGCATCTGGTATCAATTTGATAGTTTGTGACAACTGGCCAGCAGTTGCTTAGCTGGTCAAACTGTTCATATATATTATTTTTTTTCTTCACAGACCTTTTCCTTTACTGTCTTCTATATCTTTCCTACTCAGTGTGGAAGTAACTTTAGGTTGTTTTCCCTCTCCTCCTCTTCCCCATGTCCTACCCCTTTCCATCCCTGGTAAAATATTTTACCCTCCATCCCATTCTTGTTTAAAAGAATAAATTCCAGAAATGGATGGTGATAATATCCTCTTGCTTTCTGCAGGATTGATAAAGGACAAGACAGAACTATGAGTGTGACTACTAAAAATGGTCCAGAGAGCAGTGGATTGGAGGGTGAGCTGGATTTTGATACAAACTTCAGTAGCACAGAAAGTGATGAAGATTCTGATGTGCTTGAAAAACAATTTAAAAGTATGAATTTTGAAAGGACAGAGATCTAAAATGTTGAGTTATATGAGAGACTGTATGCAATCAAAAGTGGTTTGCCTTAAACTGCTCTGAAAACCTGATTTGACATCTAAGGTCCCTGCATATAAATGTTGGCACCGTGTATTATCACACTTGTTGGGGGTTCTGTATAAAATATTTTTTTTTTAATTAAGAGCAGAATGCCTTGTGAAAAGATTCAGAAATTGAATCTTTAAGCATAGTTATTTCTTGCATACATGTTAACAACTTCCTGTTTCTCTGGAATAAAGCCTCTTTGTGTAATTGTTCTAAATTCAGTATTACATGACTGTTATATTGCTACCTGGAAAGCTAGTGGGCTGTTTGGAAATTAATTGCTGATTTCAACCTGTATATTTGAGTTGGCATATCTCAGCTCAGAATAAAATTTATTAATCGAAATAAAAACCATTAGAATCAACAAATTTTTGCCAACGAGAAACAAGCATATTTATTCCAGTTGAATAAAATTCTGGACTTCTGGAGGCGATGAAGTCATCAAAGGTAGTTTCAGCCTCCCCTTGGTTTCTGAAGCGTCTCCCGCACAGGAAGCTGTCAAGATGTCGAGATGATAGTTGGTGGACGAGAGGTCTGGTGAGTGTGGTGGATGAGGCAGAGTTTCTTAGCACAGCTCATTCAGCCATTGCAGCGTTGAAAGTGCAACGTGTGGCCGCGAGTTATTGTGGAGAAGGATTGGACGGACCCTTTCTCTTGACCAGTGCTGGGCACAGCCATTGAAGTTTCTGGTGCATTTCATTGATTTGCTGGACGTACTTCGCCGCCATGATCGTTTCACCTGGATTCAGGAAGCTGTAATGGATTAAACCAGAAGCAGACCACCAGAGAGTCAGCATGACCTTCTTTTGGTGAAGATTCGGCTTTGACAAGTGCTGCGGAGCTTCATCACGGTCCAACCACTGAGCCGATTGTCACCAACTATCGTAGAACATCCATTTCTCATCGCACGTCACAATACAGTCGAGAAACGGGTCGTTCTGGTTGCAAAAAAGAAGCACCGACGACACTTCAAAATGGCGATTTCTGTGATTCTCATTCAGTTTGTGAAGCGGCCATTTGTCAAGCTTCTTCGACTTTCCAATCTTCTTCAGATGCTCAGAAACAGTTGATATGCTTACCCCGAGTTCTCTTGCAAGTTCTCAAACAGTTGTGCGTGTATCTGCTTCCACCAGAGCCTTCAGTTCATCATTGTCAATAGTAGAAGGATGTCCGTGACCACCTTGATCTTCAAGGTCGAAATTTTTGGAACCAAAGTCGCACTGTCCATTGGTTAACACTTCCCTGGCCATATACGTCATTGCTGTTTTGACACCTGAACTTTAAACCTCCAAAATTTGTCAAAAATGCAGTTTATATTATAATTTAATTATACAGCGTGAAAGTTCATAACATGAGCTTTTCAAAAATATATAACAGTACGCCAGTTGAGAAGGTACTATTCCTGAAACATATACAATGAAAAGCACATTACAAAATGGAAATTAATTTCCGAACAGCCTAATACATGGAAGTCTAGTATAAATACAGAGTCATATTGTAAAAAGGAAGAGCTAAACCACATGTAATAGTTTGCTGAAGGAAGAATTTGCAGTTTCTATCAATGGGTTTCCAAACAGGGTCAAAACACCCAGTGGTCATTACCTGTTCTTTTCTGTAAAAAAAAAAAAAAAAAAAAAATAGTTCATGAGCGGTTAATGCTTATTTACCATATATGTGTGCATTACAAATTTGTGACCTTGTTATTACCAGTTCTTTAAAAATAAAAAAAAACCCTGAAGACTTTGCAGAATTCCTCGTTACAGATCTCACACTTTCTTTTCCTTTGACTGCAGATCTAATGTAGGTTGCTGATACGAAAACACTTGTGTAGTGTAGTGAATCTTATATAGTTACTCTTTTCCTGATTTTCGGTTCTATCAAGGGGTTATTTCGATGTAGATTAAGCTCTAGGAAGAAGTTAACTGAATTTGCTGTAGCTATCTTTTATAAATTCAGGATGTTTTTATGTCTTCTGTATTGTCTACCTCTATAAATAAAGCTGAAGAAGTATTTCCTAGTTATTAAATGGTTTAACCTATGACAATATACTGTGCTGTTATGCTGTTTTTACTGATGGCAAAACAATTACACATCTTGCTTTGATGTTCTGCCTGATTTGCAATAGGGGACATGCAAAAATTTAATTCCCAAGCAGCCTTCTTCAAATGAATTTTGAGGAGTTTAAACTTGGAGATTATTTCCCCCCCCGCCCCCAAGGGAAATACTGAAATTTTATCATTTAGGTAGAGATGGCCACCCTGTGGCTGCTGTAGTTGACCTTAACTTCAAAGAAAATCTAGTTACCAGGATGTGAAGTACCAAGACATTAAGCAGTCAATAGTCTAGAAATTCTGATTTAAAGGATAACTTTAGTATTGACAATAACATGTGACAGCAGAATTTTTATAATCAGCCATGGAATGGCAAGCTCTTACTGGTTTTTCTTAACTGTGTAGGTGTTTGTCACTACAAAGAGTTCACTTTTGTATTGTAGATTAAAACACCCTTTTACCTTTTCTAAGCTATTTATGTTTGTATCTTAATATCCAAAACATGGTTTTGTAATGATCTCTAAGGACTGCTAATCTGCTTGGTTTCTTTTTTTTGTTCCTTTTCTGTCTTACCCTTGTGCTGTTGAAGAATTTGATTCCCTAAGATTATTTTTTCTGTCCCATATAGATATTTTGCATACATGATTTTTGCCAAGTGTTTTGTGGTAACTGCTAGCAGTAAACTATTTAAAAACATGCTACTGGTCTACTCTGTTCCCGTGATACATTGTAACTTTCATGGCTTTTCACTGAAACAAAGGCTAAAGTTTACTAAGTGTTTGGATGGTATTCTGTTTTGTTCTGAGGTTGTTTATTACACAGTTTGCAGTCATAAAGAACCAGGACTGATGACCCACACAATCCATCTTTCTCCACCCACTCTATAAATATACTGTTTATAAGCTAAACCACTGCTTTTGTGATTAAATACACTGGTTCTTTCACTTAACTGCAACTAATAAAAAACAAGGAATTTTGAAATTTAAAATCTGTAGAAGGGCAATGATTTGTGTTGGAATAGTCAGTGAAGCTGTAAAGAACCAAAAGGATCTTAGTGATAGAAAAGGAGGTTGTCTGGTGTGTTTAGAAGTGACTGGAAATTGGTCTGAAGGTCATGTTTCACCAACACATAAGTCCTCCCAACAGGACAGCAGTGACGTCTGACTTAGTGTGACACCACTTGTCCTGCCAGTTGACGTCAGTAAAGACATAGTGAGTAAGGAATATCTCCCCCACACACACTGCAGATGACTGGGCGGGAGGATAGAGGGGGAATTATTAAGTAATCTGGCATTAGCTTTAGAAAGGGTCTCTGAAGGGGAAACCATGAATGTCATCAAAAGTGAACTTGGCTTTTGAAAGTGGCATATGTGTGGGAAATGTTCTTCCACTTGGAAAAATTAGGTAATGGTCTATATCTTTGCTCAAAGGTGAGAGGAAATCCTGTAATGATAGGAAAACGTGTCATGGAACTGGCAGGAGCTGTATAATGAGAAAATAAGGGGAACGGCTCTCTTCTCAAAGTGGTGACAACTTTGCCAAGAGCAGTGCCACACAGACGAGCAACATGTAGCAACAAAACACAAATGTTAGTGGGAGTCCTCTGAAGTTAGCACCATCATGTCATGCAACTGTTTGGAGTTTAACTGGGGAGTTGGTACTACAGTTGGTGAAACTTTGCTGTCAGTGGGCACAGCTGCAGTGGTGGCTGGTAGTAGTCCAAGCTCTCTAGAGACAGCTTTTCATTCCAGCATGTGTTATGTCTTTGGTTGTAACTGCAGTTAAAAGATACACTGCTGGAAGTGACTGCTGCAACTAAACCCATGTAAATCTTCAGTAAAATATATAGATGAGAAGAAAAAGAAAGATCAAAAGTTGTTAAATAAGATTTCTGAGAAAATCTTTAGAGTAGCTGCACAATAGGAGCAAGGTTTAGAGTTTTTGAGATTTTGAAAGATTTCTACCTCTTCTTTTACAAACAATAATGAATTTGTGTTTGTAAACTTCAAAAGAGGGCAAATAATAATACCACCATGCCTGCAGGATATTGAGATGCAGTTTAAGTGATCTATCTAGAATGACTGATTTGGGGTTTTAGAAATACATTACTGAAAAATAAGATGTTAATAATTAGTCATGTGAAGAATAGAGACAATGCAGTGATACTGCTGACACAGCTGTATTCCTGTTAACTGATTGTCCTTAGGAATGTTACCAATTCTCATTTTAGTGTGACTCAACACTGACAGTAATTAATTAGATAATGGACTGTCAGCATGTGTAAAGCAGGCATGCAAGATGAGTCTTACTTCACAAAGGGAAATGCTCATAGGCTTGAGCTGTCATAACTTGTCATTCTTGACTCGTACAGGTTTCCAGAAAACCGAATTCCCATATATAAGGATTTCTTAGGACAGTCTGGATTAATTGCAGTGCGAGAGTCCAGAATGGACACAGTGCTGCCTCCTAGCGTAATTCCTTGACATTCTCTGTCAGAAGTTTGCAGGCATCTCTGAGATGTGCTATCATCAAATGTTTTTTGTATCAGGCGATACAAAAAACATTGCCCAATGATTTACTTCTAGTTTTGCATGGGCTGGGCTCTTCTACTCTTCTCTTGGCTACTGATTAATCTGTGTTCCTCTCAAGTACTACAATAATATCAGCCTCTGAAGATTTATAGGACTACTGGTAATTAGAAAAAGGATGGCTTGTTTTCTCCCTATAATGGGCATGTACTTGGATGCTGAGATGCAAATCATATCATTAGCAAGGAAAATAGAGCAAAACATAGCAGGTAATCAAATGTGAGCCACCTTGTAACCCTCTAGCCCTACAATTACATATGTTTTGTTTGTTCAGAAGTTCTCACAAGTAAACAGATGCTGGTAGAAAATCTAAAACTACCTCTGCTTAAGGAAGCATCAGGCTGACTTACACAGGTAATGAGGAGAGGTTTGTAGGTAGCAAGGAGATACATTCTTAATAATCAGATGTTTAGAGAGGTGGCCATGCACACTGTCAGCATATGCTTCACTTAATTCTTCTGCCTACCTTTTATCTGAAAGCTGTTAAAAGTCAAATTGTATGTGAAAAAGAAAGGATGTGCTCTG